GAAGTCGGACACCCAACCGACTGAGCCACCCAGGCGCCCCTATGTATATTACTTTTAATTATTTCCGGTTAATAAACAACTTGACAAAATTCAACCAGGCTTTGACAATCACACTGTAACTTGAAAGGAACATATAATCCAATTTCCCTCATTCTAATTTGATGATTTACTTACACAGCCACTTGACTACGAGAGCCGAAGACTTTACACTCTGAAGGTTGAAGCAGAAAATACCCATGTGGATCCACGTTTTTATTACCTGGGACCATTTAAAGACACAACGATTGTGAAAATCTCCGTAGAAGATGTGGATGAACCTCCCGTTTTTAGCAGATCCTCCTACCTGTTTGAAGTTCATGAGGATATCGAAGTGGGCACGATCATTGGTACTGTAATGGCAAGGGACCCAGATTCCGCTTCTAGCCCCATTAGGTAATTATGCCCATGTTGCCGATGAAAGAAAGGGAATTGAAATAAATGTAGAGAGTAAGAAATTCTATTCATAGCATTTAATGCATTGAAATATATGAGTCTGTCTGTAAGTTGTACATCAATCTGAGGAGCACAAGTGTTTAAAGTAAATTGTCTCTGAATGTTTTGGGGCATGGCGTGCACAGTTTTATAATTTTCTCCACTTCAGATCATGCCTTTTAGCCTAAAACCTAGCTTGTATCATCTGCCTGTATCTTTTAAGGTATTTGTTCTTCTGATCCCAGTACAGATAAAGGACACTGTGTCAGCTGTGCTATTACAATGTAACTGAATCACTTCTTTGTGCTTTCAGTTATTAAATGATATGAGAAGTTGAGAGTTGTAACAGTTAAAAAGAATATGATTCCAACAATGTTACAATTCAGTGAAAATACATTTTAGAGACTCCCATGCACTCCTACCATCAAAGAAGGGAAGGTTTTTGTTTGTTTTTGTTTTGGCTGTTTCAAAAAGAATTTGTAAAGAAAATAGAGCATTCCAGAAAGATCAGAGTAATTTAATTTCGCTTTTTATTTTTGCTTTGCTTTCTTATGGCAGCCCAAAAACACATGAAATATGATAAACACGTACAAATGAGAGAGACTCAAAGTTGTTATTGATTTTGTTCTATTATTTTAAAAAGAAATACGGATATCTATATATAATATTTACCGACAAAATGGCCATTTTAAACCATTAGTATATCATGTGTTTTGTATTTCACTCTTTTCCCTAATTCTCAACAGGTTAATTGTTCCTCCCCTTTGCTCCACATGGACTAGTCAAGTAAGAGTTTAAATGATGATTACACAATTTCCAAGCACACTCTTCTTTGATTCCAAAGTATACAACAGCAGAATAGGAAAAAATCTTGTATGCCATGTGCCTCTAACTCAACTCAAACTTAAAACTGCTACAGGTTCTGCCATACCTTCAAGTGAAGACATATTATATATAATATATATAGTAAAGAACTTGAAATAATATATTATATATATATATATAATATGTCTTCATATATATAACATATATAATATGTGTATATATATATACATATATATATATTAGTGCTTGATTTACATAACTTTATCTAAATATTTTTGTTTTATTTTTATGATTTTTTTTTTTAATTCTAGTGTCGCTAAAATAGTGTTGTATTAGTTTCAAGTGTACAATATAGTGATTCAACACTTCCATACCTTACTCAGTTCTCATCAAGATAAGTGTACTCTCAATCCCTTTCACCTATTTCACCCATCACCCACTCCCCCCACCAACTCCCCTCTGGTGACCATCTGTTCTCTAGTTTTTTGGTTTTTCTCTCTCTCTTTCCTTTTTTCCCCCTTTGTTCATTTCTTTTGTCTCTTAAATTCCACATATGAGTGAAATCATATGGTATGTGTCTTTCTCTGACTGACTTACTTCACTTAACATTATACTCTCTAGATCCATCCATGTGGTTTCAAATTACCAAAATATTTTCTTCCATTCACATACAGCATCACAAATCACATACATGGCAATCATGTACAGCTCTCATTTGCCAGCATGAATTCCCCATAATTGTCTCTTCCCCATTTGTCTTCATTGAAATGGATCCATTCTTAGATATTTTTAACTTTGAAGGCTTTATATAGCCAAAATACATACTTAGTTTTACCTATTAAATACTGTCCAAGCATTTTCTTGGCCTAGCTCTTCATGACTTTAACAGCCTGTGTTCTGTGTTCCTGGTTTGAAAGTGGCCTTTTTCAAAAGAAATATATTATATCTAAGGAGAATTCAATTTAAATCCAGGGGTGTTAAGTGGCAATGTAAAATATTATCCAGACAATGAAATAGATTTTGCATCCTCTTATAGATTGATGGTTATCATATGTCAAAATATGTCCATGGATTTTTGAAACAAAAGTAAAATATGTAATCAGAATGCAAGTCTAAGAAACGACTCCATTTATGTGTATCATTGCAATACAATTAATGACGTTATTGCTTATTAATGACAAAGTCTATTGCATAAAGGTTGTTGTATAATTGAATCAATGCTAACTTGATATAGAAAATTCAACTTAATATTTTGAGATATTAATCTTGATGGACCATGTAGTTTAAAAATATATATGTGTAATCAGAAATATAATAGTTTTACTAATGCAATGTTCTTATGGAATAGATAGGACTGGGGACATTTTAAATTGTTTATGTCATATAGTGTAGATGTTAATATAATAATCAAAGGGCTTCACTTAAATGTTTGTTCTGGAAGTGATTTTAAAAAATAAAATGAAAATTAGCACACAGAATTTGCCAATAGAGAATCAGAAAATATAATTATGTCATGTTTGAAAAAGAATCAGGATCTCTCTGTATCTTTAACATAATCTTACATAATTCCTAAATTTTTAATTATTTTTAAAACCAAATTATAAGAAGATGAAACACACATAAAATTATATGACATGGACAATAATGCTTAATTTTGATCTACATATTGCAACTTCACGGCATATTTCTATAGAAATAAGAAAACTTATTTGCCAGAATGTCAAAGAAGTCAGTTGTTCTTTTTCTCATTTAACAAATACTTGTGGATCCCCGTATCAGATATGAACATATTTCTCAAGGAGTTCTCAGTCTGTTAGGGAGGAAGATTCAGTAAGAGAAATAATATTCATTGAGTGCCTACTCTGTCAAGAATGATGCTTGATTTTGTCATCTTCGATTTCCTGTTTGAGATGTAACTCACATGCTGATGTTGCAGGGAATTCCAAATACAACGTGGTAAGTGGCAGAGACAGGTAGTACAGGCACTTTTGTATGGAAGGTATGTTGAGTCTCTTAGAGTAAAAGAACTTTGTCAACTTGAGACAGAATTCATGATTTTTCCAGATACAGAGATTCAGTGTTTTACAAATTAATGTGTGACTGGGAAGACATGTTGTTTGCATGCAAAACTGAATTCACATTTTGATAATAGAGAGGGCTAGAGCTTATTGAGGAGATTTGTTAATTACTGTCTTGTTCCATTTAGAACTGATTTAAAATAAAAATCTAAAATAAGCAATCCTCAAAAGTAAAATCACATTAGCTGTATTGACAAGATATGTCATTCCTCTAATGCAGTTTATTCAAAACCCAGCATAAGGATTATAAATTTAAATGGATTTTTGGAAATATTATACAAGTTTGGAACATCAAAAGAGAAAAGAGTTTTATGGCACTTTAAAAATCATTTTGTATTATCACTCACAAAACACCATTTAAAAATAATGTTTCATAAAAATATTAAAATAAATGACAGCTGTGGCTTAGGAAAAGATATGCCAAAACTGAATGTTACTTTAGGACTTGTTACCTTTATTTTGCTTTGTTTTTTTAACACGGAGCATTAAATATAACTTGAGGATTATGCTGGCTAACTCAGGCACTATAAAGCATGTGTAAGCCACTAGCATTGTGAACTGGCAGGAACCAATGAGGTGTATAGCTAGCTTAAATCTTGCCTGACAATCCCCCAAATAATGGGATTTATGCCAACTATATCAACCTGATTGATAAACCTGGCAGTAGGCTTTAGAATGACTCCCAACACAATGCCTTTAATCAATTTGCAGCATAGTTGGTTTTTTATACATATACTAAGACTTTATTTGGTACAAATGTGTGAAAACTCCTTTCCCAAAATTTTCTGTTTTTTTCAACACCTCTTGTCAAAATATACGCATTTTTTAATGATACATGTGGTTAACAAGCTGAAGCTTCATGGGTATCATACCATGAAGTTACTGAATATCATCCTAAATTGGTAACCTATTATTTTTAAATTTTTTTTTAATGTTTATTTATTTTTGAGAGGGAAAGAGACAGAGCATGAGTGGGGGAGGGGCAAAGAAAGAGGGAGACACAGAATCCAAAGCAGGCTCCAGGCTCTGAGCTGTCAGCACAGAGCCTGATACGGGGCTCGAACCCATAAACCGCAAGATCATGACCTGAGCTGAAGTCAGATGCTTAACCAACTGAGCCACCCAGGTGTTATGATAACCTACTCTTTTAATGAAAATAATATTGTCTCCAATTTCATCACTAAGAAAAAAACTATGCTTCTGGGAATGTTTTTTCTTTCTCTTTCTTTCTTTCTTTCTTTCTTTCTTTCTTTCTTTCTTTCTTTTTTCTTTCTTTCTTTCTTTCTTTCTTTCTTTCTTTCTTTCTTTCTTTCTTTCTTTCTTTCTTTCTTTCTTTCTTTCTTTCTTTCTTTCTTTCTGTTTTTGCATTAGATCCTTATGGTAATTCCCTCACAGAATTCGCAGCTTCTGGCTAAAGTCAGCTGGTACTGTAACCACCTGTAATCCCAACTATCTTGTAGGAAAGTACTTCACGTTCAGTTGAATATGGCAATAGGTAGTGATTTAATAACACAAATATTCAGAAGACCAGCGTTTGAATGTGGAACAAAGTGTCAGCTCCTGCCTCCGGAAGAAGAGGGAGGTGGAGATGGGGTCGTGTGTGTGTGTGTGTGTGTGCACGCGCGCGCACGCACCAATGCACACAAGTGTATGTGAGATAAATCAATGAAACAGTCTTCGTTCTACATCAGTACTATGGACTTGTATGAACTTATCATATGTTACTGTGTGTTCGCATTACAACATTTTCTCCTACAAACCGATAATACTGCCACGTATTTTTCTTTGCTTTTTTTGTTCAGATTTTCCTTGGATCGCCATACTGACCTTGACAGGATCTTTAACATACATTCTGGAAATGGATCCCTTTATACTTCAAAGCCACTTGACCGTGAACTATCTCAATGGCACAATCTAACTGTTATAGCTGCTGAAATCAGTAAGATGACGTTTTTGTACATAATATTTAACATATAGTTTTAGGTTTTATTTTATTTTAAAAATAATTCCTTCTGGGGCTGGGTGGCTCAGTTGGTTAAGCGTCCAACTTCAGCTCAGGTCATGATCTCACAGTTTGTGGGTTTGAGCCCCACATCCACCTCTGTGCTGACAGCTTGGAGCCCGGAGCCTGCTTCAGATTCTGTGTCTCCCTCTCTCTCTGCCCCTCCCCCACTAATTCTCTCTCTCAAAAATAAATAAACATCAAAAAAAAAAAATAATTCCCTCATTATATGCATGAATTGTAATTTTAGTCTAAGTTTTTAAAAGGCTTCTTAACACCTTTAATTCTTTTCAATAATTTATATATATACTGAGGCATCGCTACAGGTATCCCAAATCAACATTTAATATTGACTAATAAAAATTATCTAGAATTGGACACCAAAGATATCCTCTTTGGGGGAGAAATAAATGCATTACATTTATTGCATGGACACTGTAAATTAAAATCGATGCTAAACATTGGGTGTGTACCATTTAAAAAAATTTTTTTCAATGTTTAGTTATTTTTGAGACAGAGAGAGAGAGAAAGAGAGAGCATGAGCAGGGGAGGGGCAGAGAGAGAGGGAGGCACAGAATCCGAAGTAGGCTCCAGGCTCTGAGCCGTCAGCACAGAGCCTGAAATGGAACTTGAACCCATGAATCGTGAGATCATGACTTGAGCCAAAGTCGGAATCTTAACCAACTTAGCCACCCAGGCACCCCAGGTGTGTATAATTTAACAACATGCATGTAGGTAGGTATTATTATTACTTCCTTCTTACAGATGAGGAGACCAAGATATTGATAATAATAGCTAACATTAAGCACTCTGTGCCAGGTATTATTCTAAGAATTTTATATTAATTTTCTCCTACTCATATTTTTATTGACTTTATGTATCAGAGAAGGAACTAAGGCTTCAAGGGTTTTGGAAACTTGCCAAAGTCCTAATACCAGAAGTAGTAAAACTAAGATTTAAAACTAGTCATTCTGTTTCTAGATCCAGTATTTAATTCTATACCTAATTTACAAAATTTCATCCCAGTAATAACAGGGAGAGCCAGGATTCAAAATCATATCTGTATCTAATTGCAAAGGTTCTTGCCCATCCAAATGACTTGCTACATAATTTTCAGAGCCCATTATAAAATAAAAGTGTCAGACCTGTTGTTAAAAATGATTAAGATGTTTAACATGGCAACAACAGAGCCTTAAAATAAGTGTGGGGCCCTTCTTAGAGTAAGGCCCTGTACAATTGCCTATGAAGCCAGCTTTGTCCACTCAAGCAAACTTATTCGTGGTTTCTAATTCCTGTAATGTGATTTACATGGATAAAGCAACTCTTTAACTGTTTTAAAAAGAAGCATTAATTAGTTACTGAATCATGGGGAAAAACTAACCTATAAATTCCAAATCTGAAATACCAGGCTGAATCCACAAACACATATCAAAGTGAAGTTATTTGAAGCCACCATTCCAGGATTTGGAAGGCAGAGCCTTGGGGCCAAATTGGCAAAAGTCTCAGAAGGACGGAACTAGGCTGGACAGATCATTAACAATGAATTCAATCAAGATAAAATAGTACACTTAGCTTTGTCCTTAAATCTGGCTCTGAAATACAGATTAACTCCACCATCCAAATGACCCAGTTTTTCTGTATTGTGATATAAATGGCTGTGCCTTTTAAGGCTAACCGAAGATTTTTTTTTTTTTTTTTTTTTTTTTTTTTTTTTTGAGTTGTTATGTTCAGGAAAGCTTTTACTTCCATTACCTATCTCCATATTACCATGTTGCCATGTGTCTGACAGGGTCCAATCTGATCATTCCAGAATCATGATTGTTTGTGCTCTCTCCTTGACTCAAGATCCTAATTCAAGCCTAACGAGTTAGGAATTGCATTTTCCATTTCAGATACTTTGAGAAATTTAACTTCTAAAGCTAGTTGAAATAATTACGATTCTGTAAAAAGCAAAGCCAATTATGTTCTTCTTTTTAAGAACTAAGCCTATTTTTTGCCCTTAAGTGAAATCAATTTATGGAGTAGCTGCTGGAAATGCCTACCTGCCAAGCCACAAGCAGTCAGGGGCCCATTATGCTGTTCTGGCTATTAAAGGAATAAGGGAGAGAGGGAAACAGCATATATAGGAAATTGTTTTTCCTAGATTTTAAGCACTGGGTTTGTGGTAAGTGTGCATTACACCAAGCCCTAAGCAGGACAGAATGATGTTTAAATGGACTTCTTACCAATGCGATTTCAGGCCCTGCCTCTAACAGTTTAATTCTACATTCCACAGCAGTGTAGCACATCATATGGCAAGCACTGCTCCAGGTAATTATTTAGTGCGCTATACCGTGAAAAAACTTCCCTTTTTCTTCTTCAAAAAACATTTTTAAACGCCATTTGGAGAATAAAAACCCTAAAATTAAGGTCACACTTGGATTGTAGAAATCTGTTGTAGGGGCGCCTGGGTGGCGCAGTCGGTTAAGCGTCCGACTTCAGCCAGGTCACGATCTCGCGGTCCGCGAGTTCGAGCCCCGCGTCGGGCTCTGGGCTGATGGCTCAGAGCCTGGAGCCTGTTGTGTCTCCCTCTCTCTCTGCCCCTCGCCCGTTCATGCTCTGTTTCTCTCTGTCCCAAAAATAAATAAACGTTGAAAAAAAAATTAAAAAAAAAAAAAAAAAAGAAATCTGTTGTAGACACTAATGAGTTCCTCTGCCCACATCTGAAAATTTGGCTATAATCATCGTGATACATTCTGAGAATAGGAGAGCGAAGTTCATGACCAAAGAACTCCATTTTCTATACGTGGTTCCTTGACAGTAGAAATTCTTGCCCTAAGCAGGTAGAAAAGATACATCTTTCTAAAGCCTCGGATTTCTAGATAACAATCTAAGCTTTCCTTTTCTTGGGTACGGAAAAGCCTGTTGAATACATAGGAATGCTCTCACATTTTAAGATCCTTTATTGCTGATACATTGTTGCTACAGTGGAGTGTGCCTGGATGACTCAGAGAGAGACCCAGGTGGTAAACATACGCCAGCTACCATTCTGTATGATGACTCTTGGAATGCTTTATGTTTTTATTTGTATATAAGCTGCAACATCTATCTGTAAAAAGATTAGTGTAAGCACTGTTGTTTGAATAGGAGACTCTGGGCCTGATGCTTTATAAGCACATTTATCCCTGTGGATTTAGCTTTTGATTTGAAGAGACTGGAATTGTTTGTAAAGAAGCTGGAGAATCTTCATATGGTGTCAGGCAAAGGACTAACAATGCAGTTGTTTAGATCTGAAACTTTTCTGTCTCTCTTGGCTTCTGCAGCATAGTTAGAAAGTGAATTCCTACCAGCAAGAGTTATTTTTATGTCAGGACTCTATATTGAAAGAAAATATTTTGCTTATGTCTACTATTTAAGTATATGAAAAAGAACATACTAGAAAATATGGAAGAATCATCCCTTCCCACTACTCCCCATAGCAACAAATAACTCTAGGTAGATTGAGGATTATTTGCAGGTGAACACTTTGTAGGTGAACTCTGGCTATTTGCAAATTGTTTAGGACTAAGGGAGGTAGGAAAAGAGTGGAATGGACTGTTCTTTTTTATCTCCTCTCTCCACTTCTCCCCACACATGGTCCTCTTCAGACCCGTATGAACTGTGGGGAAACTAGTTAACACATTTTTATCGTGTGAGTGCTTTGTGTGGAGTAACATACCATAAGCTCTCAAGGAATGTAAGAAAATGAAAAAGGTATGATGGTGATAATAAAGATGATCTTAATAATAATAATCAACATGTATTGAGCAATTAACCAACAAAGTAATCCTTTTTTTTTTTTTTTTTTTTTTTTTTTTTTTTGGATAGTTTTCATGCATTAACTCCATAGATTAGAAGTTCTATTTTGATTTATACTGAGTAAATTGAGGCATTAAAGAGATGGAGTAAATTGGCCAAAGTCACACAGTGAGTAAGTGGTGAATCTGGGAATCAAAGCAGCTGTGTTCCCAGGGTCTGAACTCTATAACCACCTGACACACAAGAAGTGAACAATAGGTAGCAATACATTAGTAAATATGAGATCAGAACCTGAGAATGGAATATATATGGTTTAAAAAGTGTAAGACTGGAAAAGAGTGTTAAAGAGAGGATGCCTTTTAAATTTCCCTCGAGAAAAGGAAGGCAGATAAACACACTTTAAATAGATTTAGATCTGTTTGCTTCCTTCATATGACTCTAACCTTGTAAACGTTCCTGCTGAGTAATCAGTTCTTAAGCATTATTTTTAAAAGTGCTGATTTCATTATTTTAGTAACATCATAATTACATGGAGAGAAAGGGGAAGAAATAAATTATTTTGAATAGTAATATACACCCTATCTGGATATGACAATAATTTTTACTCTTGTATTTGACAATCATTGAGATAAATAGAAAGTCAGATAAATTTCACAAAGGTAAATAATACTATCCATAAACCCTGTGGGTAAAGGCCATTTAATAACATTGCTATTGTCCCTCACCTCATATGTTATTTTTTGTTTTGCTTTGCTTTTACTTGTTATTTATTATTCTTATTATCATTACTATTAGTTTTAAATTTACATCGAAGTTAATTAACATATAGTGTAATAATGATTTCAGAATAGAATTTAGCGATGCATCACTTACATGTGACACCAGTAGTCATCCCAACAAGTATCCTCCTTCATGCACATCACCCATTTAGCCCATCCCCCCAACCAACACCCCACCATCAACCCTCAGTTTGTTCTCTGTATTTAAGAGTCTCTTACGGTTTGTCTTTCTGTTTTTTATAGTATTTTGCTTCTCTTCCCTTATTTCATCTGGTTTGTATCTTAAATTCCACATATGAGTAAAGTCATATGATATTTGTCTTTCTGTGACTTATTTTGCTAACCATAATACACTCTAGTTTCATTCACGTTGTTACAAAT